ACAAATTATTTAAATTATTAATTTGTATTTATTTTTTTCTATTTCAATCTCTTTTTATTTTGTTAGTTTTGTTTTTTTGTTTTTGAAACTTTTTCAGCATTGATTATTATAAAACTTGCAAATGGCCGTGTTCAAGTTGTCTAAAATAATATACTCGCGTATGGTCATACAAGACGAAAAACCGCACGCCTTTCCGGGGAAAGCTTTCATAACTTTAAAAATATACTTTACTTAAAAATTTGTACCAGGCCATTTTTAGGGTTGGCGAATTCATTGAAATAATCAGAAATGTAAAAAAATATTTTTAAATATCTGTATTTATCAATTTAAATAAATTTAGGCAATTTTTTATATACCAGATTTTGATGCTCAAGAAACCCATGTGGCCTTACTGATATCAAAAAAGTATATATTACACATCATTTTATATTCATTGATCTTTCAAAAAATATAAAGATTTTGATCTGCAAGTATATTAGGGTACATCACCGAAATTTTATTTCATACTCAGCTGTCTGGTATTCCATGTTGTTCTGCAGGTCGAAATAAACTTACTGTGCAAAAATATATGAAACTGCATCATATTTAGAGGTCCCCTAGGCTATGACAACTTTCTCTATTACAGACCATGGAGACTCATTTCCCACCCATTACTTGTTTATTAAAATTTGTGTGAATAAATAATAGTTATTCTTTGTTGGCCATGTTTGTTGATGTTTTTAGATAAATAAATGTTATCTGCAAGTTTCTGAAAGTTTAAACTAATCAAAAATCAAATCCAAAGCCTGCCAATACAAGATTTGGGTAAGTTCTAATTTTGTTTGTTACTTCGATAACCAATGTTTTTGAAGTAACTTAAACCTACTTACTTACATAAATGAACTCAGTATTCACATTTTTTCACAACTGGCAACAATTGCATAATTGCATGTTAAACTCAGATAACATTTTGATTGTTTAGTTGGATGCACATTAAAAAAGCTAAGTGCATTAAGTGTTATATGAACTGGTAAATTTATAAACGCTTAATTTTGCAGAGTGAAATATGGATGATGAGAATATAAGGAATTCACAGAACTAATGCTGCTGTAACTGTCATCAGAGAAGCATGTAGTAACTTTCAAATGACTTACACAAAGCCCGTTGGATGGCGAAGCTGATCTACACCCTCAAGATTGCAGATTGTAAGATGCAGATTAAAGAGCTTCCTCCTGGCACCATTACTAGTCGTCACCAAGTGAAAAAAGTGCGTGCCTTTGCCACATTTGTAGCTCATGTGTATATGCAATGGTGGCCGAGATGGGCCCACTTGCTCTATTCAGTACCCGTTTACTGTTGAATGAGAGACAAGCTATTGCTGATGCATTGCTACAATTCAGACCACAATAATTGTGTGACCTGGAGGCTCCAGTCTATCAATTTGGTAATGGATGGAGTAAACCTACTTTCCCGTCATCCATAAACAGCTCAACATGGCTGTGTGAACTTATTGGAGAGGACTCTTGGTTTACCATATATCCACTGCAGATAGACACCAGCTTTCTTGAACTCCCCGTTAGTGAGTGGGAAAGCTCTGTGACATACTTGAACAGTGCAAAGAATCTTGCAGCAGTGAACATTGGTAATAATTGCGCTGAAAGAGGTGTTAAACTGTCTTCAGACTTTGTTGATACTGCTAGATCAGATGGACACTTTCAAAACATTCTTCAGGTGGTTGAAAAAGATTGCAAGAATGCTCCAAACCTTCGGCACAAACATGGTGTCAAGATCACAGACTAATTGAGCCGCACAACTTCATTCATTTCTGTTGTACAATCTACATGTTATTGAAACCATGCAGTGCAATCTAAAATGAACACTCAACAGTCGACAACACTCAATTTTTGTGTTGAAAATTTAATTTGACTTCAAAAATAGAAAAAAACAAATTATGTGTTCTTTTTAACAGCAAAGAAAATGCTTATTTATTATTTTGTACATAGTTAACCAATTTATATATCTATAATATGTAATTATGTATGACCAATCTTGAATAAGGACCAACTTTTCTCAGTCTTAGGCCTGCCAGCCTAGTGATCCTTATAATTTTCCTGCAGTCAGTCTAGTCTAATATTAACAATATCGCAATGGTTGAGATAAGTCTCAGGTTGTATTAATAATTCAGCTATGATGCCACAGAAATGAAAAAAAACATCCAATACACAAAAGAGTTTTAAGTTGACTGTTTGGACTCATAGGGGACCTCTAAATCAACTCTAATTTTGAAAATATTTCACTCAAGTTATCAGTATTCATAGCATAATACTTCGGAAACACAGACAGCTTATAAATATGAAGTTGATTTTTTGCCCTAGTGTGGTGATGCACCCTAAAGTATATGGATTTCCATATATGGATAATGCAGCAGCAGGTACATCCAGAGTCAATCAACACATCTTGAAGAACGCTGTTAATGTCCAAGCGTATAGTAAGTAACGCCATTATTGATCATTTAGGGAGATAGCTGGCACAAACATCTCCCTCTGCACGTTTTTTGGAAACATTCTTGATATGTGTCCTTTCTCTTGACAAGAGTAACACAAAACATCGATTGTCTCCCATCTTCGACCCAATTTGCTTCGATTGCTATGTCTTCGTAGATGACAATCTCTTGCAAAATGATTAGGGAGTTTAAATTCATAACAAACTGGTTGTCTTTGATCTTCAAGCAACCTCAACTCATCATGTCTTTTTGTTGCAGCAGCAGCAAAATTTTCATTTGTTCTATCGTTCCGTTCTTTAATTTAGATCTTACTACTATACAAATACTTGCTCGCGCAAGTATTTGTATAGTAGTAAAATCATCCATACGAGAACTTGATCTCAGCATCCGTCGAACTTTCTCAGGAAGCCCAGAAACAATAGAAGGCACATCCAATAGCTCTGTCTGGTAGCCCACCAATCAGCATAGTTGAAAGTCTTCTACTGCACCTGTAAATAAGTTGTATCAATACAAAGTTGGAGTAAGAGGTATTGATAACAACAAGAGTGCACATGATCTTTGTAGGAAGATAACCAATAAATTCAACTTAGCGATAAAGTATGGGTTAAACCCTCGGATAGCCAATGCGACTCTCAATATAAGATTGGAATAATTACAGGGATAATCCCAGAGCAAAAGGTAGAAGTGGACAAAATGTTTCGACATGTACGAGACCTAAAACAAGTAAGAGTTGACAATAACTTGAATGAAGATCTTGGACAAGGAAGAGGTGACAATGATTTAAATAAGGATTCAGAAGATGATGAAGAATTATACGTTATGCTGCCTGGAGAAAAAACAAACAAGACGCCAGTGTTACGTAGAAGCACATGAGAAAAGAGGACCTAGAAAATATGAGGCGTTTTAACGCTTAACTTACAAAGTCAATTTTGATGTGAAACTACAATAACCAGAGGGTCCATAAGGCTGGGCCACTAGGTCATGAAAAGGTTGAAAATATTGTCTCCAAAAGTTTTTTTTGTTTATATTTGTTCTATTCAGTTTTTGATGAAAACCAAATGGAACGTAAAAAATATATCACAAGATCCCACTACAAAAAAAGTGGGGCACTTGCTACAGTTCTCCCTAATGTCTTGGGACCCTGAAAACAATTTTAACATGCACATTCATTGGCACTACAGAAATTCTAAAATTTTCAGAACTCTAGCTAGTCTGGAAGTTACTGAAAAGCCAATAGCAATATTCCGCTGCAAAAAAGTGGAAATCATGTCCTGTTATCCATATATGGAAATCCGTATACTAGCAGATCAAAATCTTTACATTTTTTGAAAGATCAATGAATATAGAATAATGTGTAATAATCAATTTTGATATCATCAAGGCCACGTGAGTTTCTTGACCATTAAAAACATGTATATAGAAAATTGCCTAAACTTATTTAAATTGATAGTTACAGCTACTTGATAATAATTTTTTACACTTCTGATCATTCCATTGGATTTGTCACCCCCGAAAATAGCCAGTTACAAGTTTTTAAGCAAAAAAACCAAATATTTTTAAAGTTATGTGAATTGAAACCTCTATATAAATTTTGCAATTCTAAGGGGACAAAAGGGGTCTGGCCATCTATCTGCTAAAAGTAAAATGGAGTTTTTTATGATAAATAAAATTAATTTTTAAAATAACTTTTAATTAAATGTAAAGTTTTAAAATAAAGTAACAAATTACTCCTAACAATTGTTTATAATAAACACTTACTTAATTTATACTAAATTAAATAAGTGTTTATTATAAACAATTGTTAGAAGTAATTTGTTACTTTATTTTAAAGCTTTACATTTAATTACAAGTTATTTTAAAAATTGATTTTAATGTACAGCTTTTAATGTATTGATTTTAGTGAATAGCTCTTGTATTTAGCAAATCATTGGAAAATAAAACAGCCAAAATGTGGCCATATTACACCATCTGACAGTACTTTTTAAATAAATAAAAATTTTATATAATATTCTATAATTTAAATATATTTTAAATAATATAAATTTAAAAATATTATATAATATTCTATAATTTAAATATATTTTAAATAAAATTTATATATATATATATATATACATACATACATACATACATACATACATACATACATACATACATACATACATACATACATTACATACATACATACATACATACATACATACATACATACATACATACATACATACATACATACATACATACATACATACATACATACATACATACATACATACATACATACATACATACATACATACATACATACCTACATACATACATACATATATATATATATATATATATATATATATATATTTATATATACATACATATATATACATATATATAATTGATCTCACAAAAAGAAAAAATATATATTAAAAGGATGAGTCATTATTTTATATTATATAGAATAGTTTTTGTTTTTGAAAACTTCTGGTAAATAATAATTCAGTTTATAATACTATAATCAAACCTTTTCTTCCTCTTTTTTGAGTTCTTCTTCAAGCATATCTGATAGATAGCTGACAGCAAGGATTACATGCTTAACCCCAGCCTGGTATTTAAAAAAATAAAATAAATTTAAATAACTAAAAAAAATTATTATGCTTGCAATATAAGAGAACTTAATATAACTATCTAGACTGAAAACAAAAGAATACTTCATTTTGAATCATTTATTATTTTTAGATAAATTTATTTTGTTTGTAAGGTTATTTTAAAAGGTAAACATGACAATATACCTTTTTGTTGTTTTTTTTTTAAAAAAAAGATTTTAAATTAATAACAACAGAATGCATTTTTGTAATATAAAACTCAAGCTTAAATAAAATATTATAAAGTTATAATGGCAACCTTTGCCAATGCTTCAACTTGGTGCAAAAGCATTGGTTTATTACAAAACTCAATTAAAGGTTTCGGTCTTGATAAAGTTAGTGGCCTCAATCTTGTTCCATATCCACCAACCAAAATAAGAGCATTCATTTTTAAATCTTAAAGATAAATTTTGTTTTTATAAAATAAAAAGTGCAATAAAATAAAAGATACACACACACACACACACACACACACACACACACACACACACACACACACACACACACACACCACACACACACACATATTCGCGTTTCATTTTAAAATTTAAAAATGACTAAGTCGCCAATCAGAATAACAACAAAGCTACGCTTTAATAAAAATTTTGTAAAACAATGGTGATTATATTTTAGTCTATATTGGTTTACGTAAGTTGCGTTCTCTACACAAATTACGTGCGTACTTAATGTACGTGGATTTTACCAAATGGCATTCATTTGGTGAAAGGAAAAATTTTAAGCAATTTGCTTACGCTCAATTTACATTTATTTAATAATATTACGTAATTTAATAATTTTAAATATGCATACAATACTTTTTTAAAATTTTACACAAGTATATTAATTTAAACTATTTACTTTTACTTTGCTCTCCAAATAAACAGTCAATTGTATTCGACTTAATCTAAAATAAAAAGCGCATTTTTCAACCAAACAAAGTTTGTGAAGCGGAAATAACAAGTATAAATGAAATATAAAAGCGACCTTCCAAATGTTTATAAAAGAAAATTTATAATAGCAAAATTTATATATGTAATAGAATAAAAAATTTATATATGCAATTAAATAGTAGGGGAAGACGGGCAACACGGGTTTCCTGCAAGACTACCAGCTGTAGCTCACTAATATTTTGTCAGTATGTATTTAATACCCTAATTATTTAATACCCGCTAAGGTAATTAGTTAGTTACAATAAAAACATACCTAAGTAAACAAAATAAAAAAGTTCTTTTTTATTTTGTTTACTTAGGTATGTTTTTATATGTTTTTATCGCATTTTCAGTCATCTTGCCCCCATAGTGGGGCAAGATGACTGAAAATGCGTTTTCCGATTCTTAGTCCATTAGACATTGGAAAATGTAATTAAGTGTAACCCAATTAAGTTCAAAACAAAGCCAGATTCCTCGGGCCTAAATTCTATACCTAATTGGGGTAGCTGTATCCATAGTACCTAATACATTTAACGTCCTGTAAATATGCCAATAATATATGTCACAAGTCAATTCAGTTTAAAACTGAATTAACTTGCGACATGTCAAACTGCTATTTGGAGTTGACTAACCTTACGCTATATAGCCAAATCACTGACTAACAGTTTTAAATCTATTATTTAAAAGTATTATTTTGAAGATTTTCTGATTGGCAGCCATAATAAGCGAAACTGCCAATGACTGTATCGCAACTTTTATGAGTCCAGATATAATATTGTTTACAGCTTAGCCAGTCGTCTTCTAACGATGGTTAACTTCTTTAAACTTATACTGTATAAGTTTAAATACGTTTAAAGTATAGAATCCTAAGGTAGAGACCTGTGTGGTGTTCCACAGGTTTTTTTAATAAATTGGCTGTTTTCCGTGGTGCTCTGTGATAAGACCATAAAGACTTCTTGGGGCACCTTAATCAACTTAAAAAAAAAAAAATGACAAAGATAATTTTTTAATGCATATAAAAAAAAACTAAAAGAGATGGAAGAAAGATTCAGAAGGAACAATTTACGTATAAATGGAATATAAAAATCAACAAATGAAAATCAGAAAGTTAGTGAAATAAAAGTTAAAAAATTATTCGAAGACTGTTTAGGTTTATAGAGTATAAAAGTTTAGCAAGAAAAAACATTAGTTTTGAATCTTTTGGATTATAAATTATATATATTGGTTGAAACCTTAAAAAAATCTTTCTGTTAAAAGGTAAAAATATATTTATTAATGAGGACTTTGTACTGAAACAAATCGTATAAGAAAAAAACTTATGAGAAAAAATGAAAGAAGCCCGGCAATCAGGTAAATTTGCACATATCTCCTATGTTAAATTTGCTTACATCTCCGATGATAAATTAATAAAAATTAAATAAAAGAACTAAGAAAACAAATATGTTAGGGGTATTAAAACAATTCTTCGGTACTGGATGTAAATCAATCTAATTCAATTTCTATATTACACATCAATATATGCAGAGGCGATTCTACGAATAAAATGAGGGGAATGAATTCTCAAAAGTACCGACTAGCTTCTTAAAAAAAAAAAAAAAAAAATGTCCTTAAAACAAAAATTTTACCGACTGAATGGTGTCAAACTGCCGACCATCCAACTAAATTAGTAGTTTTTTTTTATTTATTTTTTTTTTTGGGGGGGGGAGGGGGTGAAACACCCCTCACCCCCTCCCCTACCTCTGTAAAATCGACTCTGAATATATGAATCATGCAACAACATTCGATAAGTTAAAAAAAACATTTAGAAATTCTAAAACACACTTTTGATGTCATAGGTCTAACAGAGTTTTGGCATGACTCAGAAACTTTTATTGAGTCCAATTTAAATTTGAACTTACCAAATTACCACATAATTAGTCAACCACAAGGATGTAGTAAAAAAGGACTTTGTTTATACATTTCAGAAACTGTTCAAGATTAAAAAGCAATCATGCTTAACCAAAAATGATTGTGAATGTTTAACAATAATCATTCATGAAAAAGTTCAAAATATTGTTGTTTATGCGTATACCGTCCTCCCGGATACGCATAAACAACAAAATTTTCCAAGATTTTATTTGAAATATAATAGTTAATAATTTTAGTAAATATTGGGGATATAAATTTAAATTCCCTAACCTATAAAAAAAAAAAAATCTTTCAAAGTTATTCTATTTAAATATAATATCCATGTATTAATAAACTAACTCGGGTAATTAAAATAAAAAATAAAATCTTTGATATTACTATGTAAATTACAACTATGCACATATATACAAAAAGTTCCACATTGTTCTATGTTCAATTTTGATTTAAATTAACAACATAACCTTTAATCAAACCCTAGAAGACTAGCTGTACTTTCTTGCTCCTTAAAGGGATATTTTAAATTGAGTAATGCATAGTTTTGTTAAATACAACGCTCGCCCCTCTTTTTTGTTTTTTTTGAAAATAATAATGATATATTATAAACTAGATGTCTAACTTCTATCTGTAAAGTGAGCTTTTGCCTTTTTTACAAATCGCAGATTAAATTCATTTTTTAATCGGAAATTTTTTAATCATTCTTTTTTAATCGGAAATGATTTTTTCCGATTAAAAATTCATTTCCGATTAAAAAAGACAACAGACGCTTTTAAATAATTTTTATGAAATATATTTTTATGAAATACTTTTAACGCCTATCAAAAACTTACGCTTATAAAAAAACTTTTATAAGTATTTTAAAATTATAAAAACGTCTTTTTGAATTATCTTTAACAAAATAGGTATTTTTGATGCTCTAAACTTGCATTTTTAACTTTTACTCCACATTTTGGCTTCAGCTTTGCCATTTTTATTTATAAACATGTATTAAGACTATATTTATAAACAAAAAAAAGCGCCAATAAAGTTACGCAAGTTAGACATCTAGTTTATGTAAAAGTCATCCGTTTTTCTACGGGAACGGGATAGGAAAGAGAAGAACAATCACGTGAGCATGCGTAGTTTTACTTTGGACAAATTAAAACTTATAATACGCATGCCCACGTGATTTTTTTTCCCTTCCTTTTCCCGTTCCCGTGAAAAAACGGATGAGTGGAAACTCACCTTTAAGGCGAGTTTCCACTCATCCGTTTTTTTACGGGAACGGGAAAAATAATCACGTGGGCATGCGTAGTATAAGTTTTAAGGAAAACTACGCATGCTCGCGTGATTATTTTTCCCTTTCCCTTTCCGTGAAAAAACGGATGAGTGGAAAACTCACCTTTATACATTATTGGAAAATATGGTAGTTTTCGGACGTTTTTTGCTTTATTCGTTAAGTTTGCTTTAAGTTTTAACCTTATAATATTTGATTATAAAGTGCTTTAGCTCGTAATTAAAATTGAAAAGATTAAATCTATTATTATTAAAAATGAGAAGATTAAATCTAAAAAGAAATGCTTGATCTATAAGATCAAGCATTTCCTAAGAAATATCAAGGGAAAACATTGCCAACAAACATCAAGGGAAAACATTACAAATGTACTGAATCTGTTAGTATCTTAAAATTTAAAAATTATTTAACGTTTAATTATTATTATTTTTTTTTTTTTTTGCTTGTTCAAAGAGTTTTAGAAGGCATGAGGACCCTCTAGCACTGCACCTATGGGTGTTTCAAGGAATTTGGAACTGGAAAAAAAAATTCAGTTTCACGTTTGAATTCCTTGTTAAATATCTATATAACTCACGCTTATCAACTAAAAAATAAAAAATAAAAAATCTAATATTTTAATTAAAAACGGAAACAAATACCAAAGAGTTTGGTATTTTTACTGTTTTTAAATAATTATTCCGCCTTAATCCGCCTCACTGAACGTCATTTAAAACAGGAACTTTTAAGACAGACATAAATGACCACTTTCCTATTTACATTAAAGTTTGTAACAATGAAATTACTTTGATTACTCATCCAAAATAATTAGCTTAAAAAACTTAATCTATCTACATAAAATACTAATAACTTCTCGCTAAAACTATGTGAAGAGAAATGGGAAAAAGTCTATGAATGTCATAATACTAATGAAGCATGCAATGCCTTTTCAATAAGTTTTTAAATATATGTAATGAAACATTTCCATATGAAATAATAAAAGCGGAAACGAAAACAATCGTCAAATCTTGGATGAATAAAGCTCAAGTAAAATGTTTGAAAAAAAACAAAAACTCTTCAACAAATTTCTAAAAAAAAAAAAAAAAAAAAGAGTAAAACCAGGTCAAATAAAGAGTTTTAGTTCTTTTTTTTAAAGTTGTAGAGAATTTTGAGGTGTATTATATAAAAATCAAATAATTTTTTTTTTAATTTTTTTGAGAAACTTTATTTAATTGGAAAAAAAAAACAATTTCATCCTACCCTTATATTTGGGGAGAATGAAATATGCAATTGATGCAGGGCCGACGACACCGGGGGGCCAGGGGGCATATGCCCCCCCCC